GGCTGCAAGACCTCACGTGATTGTTCCACAAGGGCGACCTTGGGTTCGAACAGGATGCATCACCGCTGCCGTTGGAAACGCTACCGCATGCCTGCACAAAAGTGGTTGCCTATTGTGATGTAGCACCCCAAAAAGTTGCGAGAGCCAATGTAGGCAAGTCGTTCCTGAGCGTCGACGAGGTCAGGAAGGGGAGTTACCCCGCGGCTGCAGTTCTCCACAGTCGGTCGGGCAATCACAAGGATGTCTCGAATTCAACTTACTGTTACTGTAATCACGACAGTTAGCGCGGAGGTACAGCCCCAACGATGGAGTTATGACATCGTTGTTACCTAGAATAAGTACTCTCGTTGGAGCAAAAGTGTTGAATGTATATACAACAACTCGTCTGGAAGCGGTCTACCAGCCGCGCTTTCCGACGGTTTGAAAAGAATGGCGTTCCTGTTGGGCCACGATTGGGGCTCGACCCTCGCCAAGCCACTGCCAGTTGATATAGTCTACTCTCGACCTCCGCTGCGATGAGCGCAACGGTCTTGTTCTGCTGCCTGCTGAGGCCTGAAATGAATTAGGGGAATCATCAGGTGCCATTGCCCCCAAGTTCTACGTTGGAGCAAATGCAAAAGTCAACAATAACAAACTTCAATTAAAAACGACTGACACGGCCCCACCTCGCTCCCGTACGCTCGAACACCATGACATCGTTTGCGCCCAACGGCTCGTTCACCCTCTCGTGGCTAGTTCGATGGGGCATGCAATTGCAACTCGAATGAGGTATCGAGAAACACTGTAGGATGGAAACTGTGAATTTTAAATCCGTTTTAAAAATCGAGCCCAGAGACGGAACGTTCGTCGAATGTTCGCGAGGGAACGAGGCCAACCAGACACGGCGGCACTGGACCCAACTCAGCCCGAATCGCGTCTGGCCTCAACTGGTTGCTCAGCCGGTCCGCTGGCCAAGTGGTCAGCACGAGGAGGCGCTTCCACGTCGCCACACCTCGATGCACCGGCCAGCCAAGACAGCAAGGTACACCGTCCACCCGCTGCCGACAGGAGGGGGCATCCAAGTGGTTGTGCCTGTGTGTCCACACATGGGGCGGCTCTGCGTGTGGACCGCCGTGCATGCGCTGTTTGCCACGGCCGTTCCTGTCATGTTTGTCCACGACATCCCCGTCCAAGTGATCGTGTTGTGTGCGATTCCCATCACGTTTGCGCTGGGGGCGTACTTGGGCTGGGCGCTGTGGCAGCTCCGCGGGGTCGAAACGTACGAAATCACGCGCCACTCGTGGCGGTACGAAAGCGGCCTTGTCGGGCTGATGCATTTCACCAACGTCCACTACGACTTTCACGCGATGGGAACCACCCACCTCGTCATCGAACAAGGCGGGCGGTTCGGGTTTGAAGGCCACTTGAAAATGGGCCACGCGTTTGGCGGCGAACACGAAGTGCAGTTGTTTTTGGCCGATGTCGAAGCATGGACGATGGCGCGGAGCCAGCGTGGCAAGCACCCGCCACCGTGCACAACGACTCGTTCAGCAACGTCGCCGGAAGCTGTCACCCTGTACTCGTTGGAAGACTTGCCCATCGTGGACGACGACATGCTGAACGCCATGATGATGCCAATCTTGGATTTGTCCGACCGCGGCGGCCAAAATAACGACATCCTGCGGCTCTTGTAAAGGCGAGGGATGTCATAATATTTATTGCAGTGCCATAGCGCGGGAGCAGGACGGTTTGACACGTTTGTTTCGGAACACGTATAAATGTGCACAAAAGTCGATCATGTTCTCCCATAAGGTCAACCCACCATGAAAATGTGCTCATGCAGCAGAATTCTTGGACCACGACAACGGGATTCGATGCACGCGGGCCACTTCACCTCGACGCCGGATGGACCACGGTTCGTTGTCGACGGTGAAACAAATCCGTCCGATGACTTGAAAGCTCTCGACGCGGGATACACGGATTTCCTGGGTGTGGCCGGGAATGGAGCCACCGTCGATTTGGTGGTCGTCGCGGACGCCGCAGTGGCAACAATGGTCGAAGGCCATTCGTTCTTGGCTATCGTTGGATTGCCTCCAACGTGCTTTGCACTAACCTCGACGGAGGCATTGCGCTACAGCTTACCTCGCTGGCAAACCTGCAGAGCGAAACGACAAGCCGCCGCAAATGTTGCTACGATTGCAGCACGAGAGACTCGAGGCTGACGCTAGGATCTAGCGCCCGCAATCGAATGCAAGAATTCCAGTGGTTTGTTTGAATTGCAGAGTGCCCTTGAACGGGTGTCCTATTAACTTTCTACAACGTCGGGGGCTTGAAGTTCTTGTGGTACGTCACGTTGGTGTACACAATTCGAGCGTAGCTGCTATCACGCGGGCAGAAATCAAACTTAATGGCGTCCCATGGCGCAGGACCCGTCGCCGCCGCGGGGGGGTGGAAAAGGGGTTTGCCTTTCTGGTACGTCTCGTACCCCCCCAAGACGAGCGACACCACGATGGCAAAGACCGCCCACGCCTTTTCGAGCTTGTTCACTTTGTTGCCAAAGTGCTTGAGGTAAAACACGATCGGGAGGATCATGCAGCAGAGGGCAATGCACGACGCCCCCGTGAAGTCAACCAAGTCCAACAGACGGTCCTTCCACACGCACGCGATGGCGACGGTGCCAGCGACCACGAAAATTCGAAGGACCGCTACCCTAGGATACACGCCCGGTTGGCGATACGTTTGCGAGTCCAAATCGTGGTCGTCAGGTGCGACAATGTCCGCTTTGTTCAAGGACTCCGCGGGCTTGTCGTCACCGGGGGTCGCCGCCGCTTCGAATCCGCCTTCGATGGGCTGGAGCGCATCCATGTGCTTGTGCAGCCCAAACACGAGCCGTTCCAAGATGTAGAACGCGGGCGTGATAATCACACCAAACGCAATCGTGACGTGCAACTGCATAAACAGGTTTGCCAAAATGACGCCGCCTCGGTTGGCCGTGAACCCGAGTTTTGTGGGAGCCCCAGCAATCGAAAAGAGCAAGTTGCCGGGGATTTGGCATCCGACGACAGACACCCCCGAGATCGCGACCGCCATAAACAGGACGGAAATCAGTCCCAGCGTGAAGTAGATGATACGGGGCATGCGCTCCGGCTCCGAGTGTTCGCGCTGCAATGATGGCACAACAATGCCCGCGCCATACGCCAAAGCCAAGCTTCCGAACACCGACGCTGTTTGGTCAAACGTGACGATCGGTGACGGCGTGCTCACGCCCGCCGGAATCGGACTCATATTGTCGACCAAGAGGTAGAGCGCAATGACGTCGGCCAAGACCGTGCCCAGTGCCCCCGCAGCCGCCGCGAATGCACCTTCTTTCAACGTCGGGATCAAGCACACGGGAAGTAGCGACAACCCCATGACCACAATCCACGTTTCAACTTCATAGGAGTCGGGAAACAAGATGGAACAGATAATGCCACCAAGGACCAAGAACGCAATCGGGACCAGGATGCACGTCAGCATGTGCGTGATCAAGACCAGCCATCGACCCGGAGCCCCAAGGCAAAACTGGCCTAAATCGCTGTACGTTCGGACACTCTTGGGGGCGTCCAAGAGCACCTTGGAGATACACACGGTGCCGTAGATGTTGACGGCAGCCATGAAGACTAGTGCAGCAGTGGCCCAGCCATAACCGACTTTGGCGTAGTTCCCCGGCATGCTGAGCGTCCCGATGCCGTAGACGCAGCAAAAGAGTGAAAACGACATCTTCAAGTCCTCCGTCGTCAGGAATGGCTTCCCCATCGTGGCTTGCGAGCGAATGCAAAAGTGATGCCATGCGAGTTGTGGGCGAAAGGGCGCGGGGTAGGGCTATCCTGGAACAAACGACCGTTAGGAGTAAAATTCGATGAATAAATGGAGCCTTTGTTCGCCGGTTCTGGCGAGGAGGACCAGCTACGGGACAAGAGCTTGCTTGCGCACAGACTAATCCCCTACGGCAAGGCTAGACCCCAAAACACAATAGCTCGCTGACGTTCGCAATTGAGAATGGTGCAAGTTATCTAAACACTTCAACTGCGTCAATTGAGATGTCGTCGTCGTACTATTTGTTGTTTCAGAGCAGGTCTGGAT